GCTCACTTGGTAGCCCAGGCTGGCCTCGAACTCACAGAGATCCGCCTGCCTCTGCCTCCCGAGTGCTGGGATTAAAGGCGTGCGCCACCAACGCCCGGCTTACAGGTCCATTATTCTACAATATAAAACAAATTGTTTGAATCAACTGAAGTAAAACTTTTGAAAACACTTCCCCACCCCTCCCCTCCGCATGGTAGCCTGCCTTTGGTATGATGTAATTGAGGTTTTCAGTTTATAAATCCTACCCTGCCTCACTCGGGGTCAATAGTCTTTTCTGGTGTGAGCCTGCTTTCCACCTCTGGGAAATAAAGGGCTCTTCATGTGACCTTCATTAAGTGGCATTCTTCCCTGTGTCTTGCGTGGGTACAACAACTAAACGCTACCGTCTAAGACTGGTGTGAACAGCTCTAAGGAAAGCGGATTATCACCTTCATCTCAGCTCATTTCTATCAATAGACTGTAGGCCTAAGATCTCAATACCTTATTTATATCACATTATCAAGGCAGTCATGAAGGATTAAGATCTTATTAATGTTAACAAGCCAGCCTTTAAGTACTGCCCCCTCAGCTAATTCACTACCTAACAAATTGCTCTGCTTAGTCAATGGTTGCAACCCTGACTATGCATTCATCTCAGTTGGAGAGCTTTTAAGCAGCCTCTTACTCAGGGCTCCATACAGAGCAGTCATATTAGAATCTCTGGGTTGGGTGCCAGGCATCAGTAGGTTTGACACTCCCCAGGTGATCCCAATGAGGGCCAGCGTTGAGAATGAGAATCACTGAGAGATTGAAAGCACTCTCCGTGGGTTCTGACTGCTTCCTCCTGCCTCCTTTGTCCACCCTCACCTCCAAGCTCCCTTCCTCTCCTCACTTGCTTCCTTCTGCTTGCTCACCTCTGTTGTCTGCTAATGTAGAGAGTCAGCAAGCCCTGGGCTCTGTCCTCTTGTGATCACCGGGCAAGTCATACTCTCAGGTTCTTGGTTTCTTTTCCAATCCAGTCATATCACTTGTACTCACAGGTAATAAGGGACTCTGAAATCCCTTGGCTGCTGAAGAACAAAATGCAGATGTAAGAGATACCTACAGACCTGAGTACCAACATACACTATGTTGAGAGATCAAAAGCCACCCGCAGAAAGTGCCACAGAGAGTTAACACGGGTCTAAAGTTTCAATCCAGGCAAATGAAACTGTATTGTGACTAAAAGCTACTAGAAAAACATTTCTAGCTATATTCATGTAAAGTGTAAGGACAAAACATCTACAGGGATAATAAACTCCACACTCAGGGTGAGAGTAACTCTGGAGGGGTAGGAAAGGAAATGGAGCAAATATATCTTTAAAGTTTTATTTAAAAAAGATTAGTTTTCTTTCTGTGTATCTCTGCATGTATTTGTGTTTCTTATGCTTTTTGTGTTTTTTTTTTCTGTTTTCTGTGCTGACTAGTTTAATGTCAACTTGACACAAGCTAGAGTTATCTGAATGGAGGGAACCACAATTGAGAAAATGCCCCCATAAGATTTGGCTGTAAGGCATTTTTTTTGTTTTGTTTTTTGAGACAGGGTTTCTCTGTGGTTTTGGTGCCAGTCCTGGATCTTGCTCCATGGACCAGGCTGGCCTTGAACTCACAGAGATCCGCCTGGCTCTGCCTCCCAAGTGCTGGGATTAAAGGTGTGTGCCACCACTGCCTGGCTTGCAAGGCATTTTCTTAATCAGTGATTGGGGAGGGCCCGGCCCATTGTGGTTGGTACCATCCCTGGGTTGGTGGTCCTGGGTTCTATAAGAAAGCAGGTTGAAGGGCGGTGGTGGCGCACACCTTTAACCCCAGCACTCGGGAGGCAGAGGCAGGCAGATCTTTGTGAGTTCGAGGTCACCCTGGTCTATGGAGCGAGATCCAGGAAAGGCACAAAGCTACACAGAGAAACCCTGTCTTGAAAAACCAAAAAAAA